ATATATATATATATATGCATGTTTCATTAAAAACGACAGACAAGGTACTACGGTTGAACTTTTTATTTAATTTTTCTTGTGTTCTGACAAGAGCTTTTTTTTTTCTGGACAAAGGTGTGTAAGAACTGTCCGAATGTTTTATATTTCCGAGCGCTTTCGGCTATACCTTTAGCCATTATCAAGGATGATTCGATTTTCAGCTTAGTTGAGTGTATGCGTTCTGTGTATGTATCAGTGTGTGGTAGTGATGTTTTTAGTTTCCGAATACGGTTAGCACATTGTGGCTTTGTTCATAGTTAATATTGTTAAGGGCTGGCTTTTTCTTTTTTATTATTAGAGCTTCCATTATTTTTAGTCTTTTTTTGCAAGTGGATGCAGTTAATATATTTGTGTTTTCTACTAGTATGTTCCTAATGGTGTCGGGTAAATCTGAGTGTGTGCTTAAATGTGTTCTGATGGAGCTGTGATCAGATAGGTGTAACGTAAGACGTCTGATAAACATGTGGTTGTGTAGCCGATGTAATTATTTATGAGTCCGGTTTGGTGAGGAACGCAGTTCCTTAAAGGGCATTTGAACTCATAGATAATGTTCGTTCTTTTGTAATTTTGACTTCGTTGGCGTGTTGTTATTTTTGAGGATAAGGTTGGCTGTCTTAAATTTTTATAATAGATAATATAATAAAAAACTTAAACAAATATTCCATGGTCAAATTGAATCGTAAATACGATCCAATTCATCATTAGGTCTGATGAATTGATCGTATTTACGATTCCAATAGAATAAATTATGACCATGGAATATTAGTGTTTTAAGCCTTTTTATTATATCCTTACTCTGTCCTGGACATTGAGTTCTACCTGGATTCTATCCTCTTGGAATTTTTTTATACAAAATATATATGTATGTGTATGCATGCATGTATATATATTTATATATTTTGCATATGTATGTGTATATTTACCACTAATATTATCATTATCTATCTATCTATCTATCTATCTATCTATCTATCTCTATATATATATATATATATAATTATTTATTTTAGGATATTAAAGCAAAAGCGTTGAAAATCGCTACACGATTACAATCATGTTTCAACTTTGTACTAAGCCCTCCTTTAAATTAAATATTACATACAGTGCCTTATACTCCATTTGTTGTCATTTTACCTGTATGTATATATCCACCAATCAAAAAAGTGACAAACTTTATATTTATATCAATTCTAAGTATATATATATATCGAAACCGACGGGAGAGTCCATTATATATATATATATATATATATATATATATATATATATATATATATATGACATATGATCACTCTTCCCTGGCGCAGCTGAAAGCGATCATTTCCCGACTAACATTCTCGCATATCTGCCGCATGACAGCAAGAATTGTAAATAATATTTATGTCTATGTAAATTAGATGCTTTTATTCAACCAAATGTAGTAATCATGACCAATAGCAATTTGTTTAATTTTTGATCTATTGCCAGAGTGGCGGACACACACACACACACACACACACACACACACACACACACACACACACACACACACACACACACACACACACACACACACAGGGTGTGATGGGTAAATTGCTGCAATTTTATGTTTTTCATTTCGCGCATCCGCGTTTTTTTTATTTTGATCTTGTCGACTGCACAGTATAGTCGAGTCAGTTGAGCACCGTCAGTATTTTCAAAATATTTTTTTGCAATTTTGGTAAATATATGTGTTAAAATAAGATGTGTTATTTTCATTTTTGCGTAATTTATCCATGTGTGTGTATGTGTATCTGTGTGTATGTATGTACAGTGTGTGATGGAAAAATTATGCATATATATATATATATATATATATATATATATATATATATATATATATATATATATATATATGTATGTATCTGTGTGTATATGTGTACGTTTATTAGACAAAATAATTTGAACGGCTTGGCATTTCCGGGTATTTGTAAACATCCAACCGGCATAAAAGGTAACGACTCAGCAATTTAATCCTTTACATTGATTTTCCACTTAATTGTCATAATTTATCTTCAGGTAAAAGAGTTACATACTAAAATGCGCGACCTGTCAGATTTTCAAAGAGGACAAATAGTCGGTGCTCAATTAGCAGGAGCATCTGTGACCAAAACGTTTGAATTATTGAATCTGTCACAGGCAGTAGTGCCCACGATTATGGGAGCTTAAACAAAACAAGGCAAAGCATCATCAGCAAAGAGTAATAGTAGACGGAAACCAAAGTTGACCAAAAAAGACTGACGAGCTTTAAAAGGAATTGTGGCAAAAAAATAAAAATTACTGCAGCAAAAGTAACATTAGAACTCATTACTCACCTCACCAATACATTTTCTACACGCACAGTACGTCAGGACTTCCACAAAGCTGGTACCCACGAAAGGGCTACGATTTCTAAACATCTGATCACAAAGTCGAATTCAAAGTTGCGAAAAAAATTGTATGATGATCAAAATTTGGACACTCGAGGAATGGAAAAAGGTTATTTGGTCTAATGAGTTTTCTTTCACGTTATTTCCTACAAACGGGGGTGTTTATGCATGGATAACACTGCGTGAAGCCTATGATATGGATTGCAAATATGAAGGTGGCTAAGTAATGATTTGGGTGGCAATTTCCTGATATTCTTCTGGATCTATCATCACACTTAATGGCAGAATCACTGCAGATAAATATCTCGACATTATCAGTAACAATTTCCTTCCAATGGCTACCATGCTGTTGCCAGAAAGTGCAATGTTCCAAGATGATAATGCGCCTATACACTGCAAAAAAGTCATCATAACATAATTAAATTCTTTAGTCGCGTGCTTCATTATTACAATAAAATAGTAAAATAAAGATAATAGCTTGTTCCATTACCTTAAATTGACGTTTTTGTACACCTGAAATAAAGCGTGACACAGTTGGAAACACTTAAAAATGCATAACATAATGAAATTTTCACTACATACTTACCACCGTAGAAGTATACAGTGTACCAAGTTTCAATTTTCTACAAAGTTTAATGTTCAAAATATCAACAAAAATGTGACCTGCAATAAAACCTGATACATTGTTTATAGCATATATATATATATATATATATATATATATATATATATATATATATATATATATATATATATATATATATATATATATATAGCATATATATATATATATATATATATATATATATATATATATATATATATATAGCATATATATATATAGTATATATATATATATATATATATATATATATATATATATATATATATACATATATATATATATATATATATATATATAGTATATATATAGCATATATATATATATATCTATAGCATATCTATAGTATATATATATGTATAGCATATCTATATATATATATATATATATATATATACATATATATATATATATATATATATATATAATATATATATAACATATATATACATATATATACATATATATATATATATAAATATATATAAAATATATATATATATATATACATATATAGCATATATATATATATATATATATATATATATGTATATATATATATATATATATATATATATATATATATATATATATATATATATATATATATATATACACACACATATTCATATCATATATATATATATATATATATATATATATATTTAGCAAATACTTTGTTTCATTGTATTATTTGTCAAAATAAAAATTCAATTGACGCGAATTCAAGTTAACTTTCAAAAGCGACTAGCTTGATTGAGCATATATCTTGGAAATAATAGAATAATAGTAATATAAAAGTTTCATTATTTTCAAATTATATCTTGAAAAGAAGGATAGTATAAAAGTTATATTTTTCAAATTATATCTCTAAAAGAATAGCAATGTAAAAGTTGTATTGGTTTCAATTTAAATCTTGGAAATAAAATCAGTATAAAATTATAAATCATAATGTACATGCTGAAATATACGTTTAAGTTGAATAAGATATCAATACAGTTCATAATGACAGTAAATCGATTTCTTAGAACTGATGATCAGCTGATATGCTAAATGAAAAAAGCATAATTAAATTCGCTCCATATAACTTATTATATCAATGAAAAACAAATGAAATATATAATTCAGAAATATATATTTTACAATTCTTGTAATCAATGAAATATTTGTTATTGTCACTATTTCCGTATGTCAATTCTCATTTTCAGCGGCAATGGTCATGTACAGTAAATCCGAAATAGCAATTTGTAGCGTAAAAATATTTAATTTGTCACTGGTAAGTTACCAATAAAGAAAGTAAAAATTGAAGTTTCCAATGAAGTAAATTTAAAAGTAAAAAATATATTTTGGAAGAAAATTTTATATAAATAAATCATCTAAATTATTATGTACAATGGTGATTCATTTAAATTCGAAGTTTGGCAAGGTTATTAGCTGAATGACTAGCCGAAATTATGACGATATAACGTTGTAAATATACAAGTATTGTAGAAGCATTAGATTTAGGGCGTTAAGAATGAAGGCGATTAAACTGAAAAATAACTTATTACTTGTATAAAATAAGAGCAGATAGATTTGCGTATCGTCCGGCTCACACTTCTCCCCGTTCTAACATCTCGCCTAAAACTCTGAACATTAATTTACTATTTATTTACCTTATCTTTTCCTTAATAGGAGTAAATAGGTTTGCCGATCGGTTCACATTCCTCCCCGTTCTTTTGAACAAGAGTAGAGGTTAATCTCTTGTTCCTTTTCATTTTGTGGCCCCCTGCTTGTATAATTGGCCTATATTATAATGTATACTCATGTCGAGAAGGGCTATAGGAAGATTCTAAATTATAATGTACGGTGGAATAATGGATAGCGGCTTGGATTAAGGAATCGGAGAGCCGAGTTCGAGTTCCAGTCGAATTCATTACATTTACTTACGTACTAATACCCTTGTGAAAGGTATGAATCCTCTTCTTCTCCCTACAGCTATGGGTAAATAGCAGGACAGATCGGGTTCTATAGCCTTGGATGGCAACTGGTCTACCGCAGAAAGAAATGGCAACATACTGCGGGAAAAAAATCTGCCTCGTCAGCCATGTATCGAAAGATACATGATCGCTTAAGTGTGTATCACGCACGGAACATAACCGATTGATATTAATTTAATATTTATCTCTCTTGAAAAATCGTTTTATCAGTTGGGCACAAATACCCGTAACCCACTAATATCTTTCAGTTGCAAATTACCATGATTTATTAGCGCATTTTAACGGGGACTTAATACTTCTGGTTACCATGCACTGTTTCAGTACATTTAAAGGTTGCCTAGCAATATATATATATATATATATATATATAAAACAAAAAGAATTTTAGTGCACTGTGAATAATCTATAATAAAGATGACACTTTTTGCTTTGCTTTTGTTCAGAGGATGGTTAACTCAAAGTATTTGCATACAGGACGTTTAAAAATAACATTTTACAAAATGATAATCCCACAGTTCGATAATGTCAAATTGGCTGCAGATCTAAAAAATGACCTACAACCTGCTGTTAACTGGAGCAAGGAATGGCGTGTTAATTTTAACGCCTCCCTTAACGAAACTGCTCTCTATTAATTGTCTGAGAGAACCCTTTCTGCCTTCCATCAGGAGAGTGACTCATTGCACGTTCTTGACTAACGTTTTCTGCTGACATGAAATAGAAAGATTATATTGAATCCATTGCTAGGTCAGCTGCTAGGAAAGTTGGTCCACTGTGTCAGGCTAGGCAATTTTTTCTCGCCGAATCTATCTTACATATTTATAAGTATACCATTCGTCCATGCTTTGAATATTACTGTCATATATGGTCTGGTGTTCCTGCTATATATTTAGAGATTATTGATAAATCCCAAAGAAAAATCTGCAATGTTATCTTCAGACACTTTCCTACCGCCATAATGTAGTTTCTCGGTACCTTTCATGGTACTTTTCATATTTTCATGGTAATTGTTCTGAAGAACTTTCTTTTATGGTACCTAGACTTTAAGGCTTTAAGCTCAGTGCTAGATTGACAGCAAGGTTTCGTCGTTTTACAGTTGAATTGGCTAAAAGTAACCGTAAGTTCTATGCAAACAGTTTATTTTCTCGCTTGTGGAGCTTCCGGCTTCTTGCTTTCTAGTCAAGTTTGATGTACAAAAATTTAAATGCAATGTCAATCGTTATTTCCTGTCGTCTTAATTCCTATTGTTTTATTGTTCTTGCTCGTTAATCATGTTTTTTTTTTTTTTTTTTTTACTAATATTCTTTCACACTCAGTAACCCCGTTGTGTCTTAGTGGCTTTATTGCCTTGCTCGGGGTGAAATGATTAAAAGAAAAAGTTACGTAGACCAAGAAAAAAAAAAAAAAAAGAAATCACTCAAATACACGTATTTTGTCTCCTGAGGCAAGTGTTTCGGCAGGTGTAAATTTGACAAAACCTTTATTGTATTTTAGAGTTTTTCTTACACTAAAATATACAGAACGAGACAAAGACATAAAAGGAACAGGAAGAATGTTGTTTTCGGTGATGTTTGAGGAAAAAAAAAAAAAAAAAAAAAGGTAAGGACAATGAAATCTGGTTAGGGAAATAATTAAAAAGAAAAAGAACGAAATGAATAAAGAAGGAAAGATTAAAGAAAAGTTAAAAGAGCAGATAAGACCAAAAGAAGAAAAAAAAAAAAAAAAAAAAAGAAAAGAACGAAATGAATAAAGAAGGACAATGAAATCTGGTTAGGGAAATAATTAAAAAAATAAAAAAAAAAAAAGAAAAATGAATAAAGAAGGAAAAGATTAAAAGAAAAGTTAAAGAGCAGATAAGACCAAAAAGGAAAAAAAAAAAAAAAAAGGTAAGGACAATGAAATCTGGTTAGGGAAATAATTAAAAAAAAAAAAGAACGAAATGAATAAAGAAGGAAAGATTAAAGAAAAGTTAAGAGCAGATAAGACCAAAAGGAGAAAAAAAAAAAAAAAAAAAGGTAAGGACAATGAAATCTGGTTAGGGAAATATTTAAAAAGAAAAAAAGAACGAAATGAATAAAGAAGGAAAGATTAAAGAAAAGTTAAAGAGCAGATAAGACCAAAAGGAGAAAAAAAAAAAAAAAGAAGGACAATGAAATCTGGTTAGGGAAATAATTAAAAAAAAAAAACGAAATGAATAAAGAAGGAAAGATTAAAGAAAAAAAGAGCAGATAAGACCAAAAAGAAAAAAAAAAAAAAAAAAAGGTAAGGACAATGAAATCTGGTTAGGGAAATAATTAAAAGAAAAAGAACGAAAATGAATAAAGAAGGAAAGATTAAAGAAAAGTTAAAGAGCAGATAAGACCAAAAGGAGAAAAAAAAAAAAAAAAAAAAAAAGTAAGGACAATGAAATCTGGTTAGGGAAATAATTAAAAAAGAAAAAGAACGAAATGAATAAAGAAGGAAAGATTAAAGAAAAGTTAAAGAGCAGATAAGACCAAAAAGGAGAAAAAAAAAAAAAAAAAAAAAAAAAGGTAAGGACAATGAAATCTGGTTAGGGAAATAATTAAAAAGAAAAAGAACGAAATGAATAAAGAAGGAAAGATTAAAGAAAAGTTAAAGAGCAGATAAGACCAAAAGGAGAAAAAAAAAAAAAAAAAAAAGGTAAGGACAATGAAATCTGGTTAAAATAATTAAAAAGAAAAGAACGAAATGAATAAAGAAGGAAAGATTAAAGAAAAAAGAGCAGATAAGAACAAGAAAAAAAAAAAAAAAAAAAAAAAGGTAAGGACAATGAAATCTGGTTAGGGAAATAATTAAAAGAAAAAGAACGAAATGAATAAAGAAGGAAAGATTAAAGAAAAGTTAAAGAGCAGATAAGACCAAAAGGAGAAAAAAAAAAAAAAAAAAAAAGGTAAGGACAATGAAATCTGGTTAGGGAAATAATTAAAAAGAAAAGAACGAAATGAATAAAGAAGGAAAGATTAAAGAAAAGTTAAAGAGCAGATAAGACCAAAAGGAGAAAAAAAAAAAAAAAAAAAAGTAAGAACAATGAAATCTGGTTAGGGAAATAATTAAAAAAAAAAAAAACGAAATGAATAAAGAAGGAAAGATTAAAGAAAAAGTTAAAGAGCAGATAAGACCAAAAGGAGAAAAAAAAAAAAAAAAGGAAGGACAATGAAATCTGGTTAGGGAAATAATTAAAAAGAAAAAGAACGAAATGAATAAAGAAGGAAAGATTAAAGAAAAGTTAAAGAGCAGATAAGACCAAAAGGAGAAAAAAAAAAAAAAAAAAAAAAGGTAAGGACAATGAAATCTGGTTAGGGAAATAATTAAAAAGAAAAAGAACGAAATGAATAAAGAAGGAAAGATTAAAGAAAAGTTAAAGAGCAGATAAGACCAAAAGGAGAAAAAAAAAAAAAAAAAAAAAGGACAATGAAATCTGGTTAGGGAAATAATTAAAAAGAAAAGAACGAAATGAATAAAGAAGGAAAGATTAAAGAAAAGTTAAAGAGCAGATAAGACCAAAAGGAGAAAAAAAAAAAAAAGGTAAGGACAATGAAATCTGGTTAGGGAAATAATTAAAAAGAAAAAGAACGAAATGAATAAAGAAGGAAAGATTAAAGAAAAGTTAAAGAGCAGATAAGACCAAAAGGAGAAAAAAAAAAAAGGTAAGGACAATGAAATCTGGTTAGGGAAATAATTAAAAAGAAAAAGAACGAAATGAATAAAGAAGGAAAGATTAAAGAAAAAGTTAAAGAGCAGATAAGACCAAAAGGAGAAAAAAAAAAAAAAAAGGTAAGGACAATGAAATCTGGTTAGGGAAATAATTAAAAAAGAAAAAAGAACGAAATGAATAAAGAAGGAAAGATTAAAGAAAAGTTAAAGAGCAGATAAGACCAAAAGGAGAAAAAAAAAAAAAAAGAGAGAAAAGATATAGAATGAAAGAAAGCCGGACTCTTTACATTTTTCCGTTTTCACTTTTTTTCCATATAACATCTTTTTATTATTCAACTTGTTTATATTGTCATAGTTCAAGAATTATTCTGTTAGGATTAATTTTTCAGCCAGTATTTATTTCATTTTCAGTTCAGTTACATTTTATCGCAAATTTCTGATCATTCGTCCTTAGAGTTACGACAAAAAGCATATGAAAGTAAAATGAAAGAAATGCAAGTCGGAAAATCAATAAGTAACATTTCTGTAACGACAAAAGTACACAGGTGTAGGCTTTAAGAAAGCGTTATTCAACTGAGAATACTAGGTTCGCGTATAGTGTCCTTTTATAGTCCAAGTAAATTACCTCTCTCGAAGAGGAGAATAATAAAATAAGGGGTGATCACTCTTGATTATTCATAACATTTTCATTTTAAGAAAATAAAAATAAAATAAAAACGAAACATTTTTGCTCAACTTAAATAGTTATACAATGAATTAAATGTTATTGACGTCGAACTTCAATAAACAAATACCAAATTACTAATTCAAAACTAATTTTTAAAATTAAACGTGACCTAAATATCAAATATTCATGTTCTCAAAAGAAGAATATTGAATTTTTTTTCTTCGAGAAACAGTTTATCCCGTTAGCAGCTTTGTACGATTTCGATTCTCGCTGAAAGTTTATTCAGCAATATTTAACCTTCATACCCCAATAAAACGGTATATCAAAAGGACGATTTTCCCTTGACACTGCTATTATTTTGTAATACGTTCACTCCTTCGGCAGCGTTTATTGTTTTAAAAAGTGGGGATTAGAATTTTAATAAAACTCAAATATATGAAAGTGAATTTATATATTTTCTTTTGCTTGAGAATTTACAACAAAATTATTAAATACTATTTATTTATTAGATTTTTTATTTAAAAGAATAATTTTATATTTAATATATTCTTAAAATTCGAATTGACTAAGACAATGCAATATTTATCGTTTACCAATTTATAAAGAAATAAATATGAAAATAATTCTTTTTTATTCAAAAATTTATAAAAATCTACTAAATCATAAAAATATGTGAACCAACTTTAATGAAATCCTTATTTACCATTTTATAAAGTTCGAACGAATTTCCAAAAGGAGATCAGGACCGAATCAGACGCCGAGTATCTTGACCGGCCCGTTCCTCCAGAAGAAAGGTCCGGAAAGAGAAACTCCCTTCCACGCACCCAATCGCAAGCCAACAGACTTATTGCCGTTGATGTTGGTCCCTGTCACTGTCTCGTACCCTTTGCTGCCAATCTCGACTCTGTTCGACACAAAAACTGAAACGTCGTCAGAATAGGTAGAATACTTGGCCGAGGTGGTAGCACCAAGTAGGGAAATTCCGCGTAGGACCAGATTTGTCTTTAATTTGCAAAGGAAATGTTCCAACGCAAGAACGTAAAGCAAAGGCAAAAGCGGACAATTTTAACGAATGGAGCGAGACAATACGAAAGGCTCTGATCGTACCCCATTCACTTCCACCAGCGCACTGGAAGACGCATACAGAAGTCGGATCCAGTTGCGAAAGTAAAGCCTCCAGAAATCCATGGTCAACCCTATGGAATGCTTTGGACGGATCTAAATTGATCAACACGGCTTCACTGTCGACTTGCTAGATGATTAAGCGTCCCATAGGAAAGTTGTCCTGAATAATCCTGCCCTTCATAGTCTGTTCTGAACCAATCAGATTAGAGAGGACTGCCTGCAAACGGTTGGCTATGATCTTGGCTAAAATCTTTAACATTGTATTTAACATCGTTAAAGGCCGAAAGTTACATATCTCATCCTTAACGTTCTTAGCCTTGCGTAACAACTTGACCACACCCCTGGTGAAGCGTTGAGTTATTTCTCTGTCTAAATATATTTAGATCTCTTTCTTTTACGCTTGTCTTTTTATTGACTTTCTTTATTGTAAAAAAAAACAAAAAGCTGAAACAACATGACTGTTTATACAATTATTATCAAGCATATTGATGTTCTACTTTCAGTAGTAATTTCTTTATGTATCTATCGGGGAAGATAACCATGGTTGTCTCCCCGCTTGAATTACTCGATTATAAAAGTAATCGTCGAACATCACATATAGGCAGCAGACAAATTACTTTGAATAAAGTTTCATTGTAAGCTTAAAGGTTCGTCCGTTTTTCTTTACAATATCTTTTTGTATCTTTATAAAGCTTTCACTCGTATATTCAATCAGTATATTTGTCAAGCTGCAAATTAATAAGGAACTAAAAAATGATAGTCGCTTCGAAATCGATACATTTTATTTAATATTTTGGCCTACAATATCAGAAAAGGGTGTTTGTTTTATGGGAGTAGAGGTTGATCATTTCCGCCAATATTTTTTAAAAAATCGACTTTACAGATAGCAGTCCGGCAAAATAGCCTTTGACATGAAAGTGCATATTTAAAAAGAAGAGATCTATCATTGAATTCTTCCATAAGGAACACATTGATATTCATCTCCGATGCAAAGTGTTTATAGAGAACACTCAGTGGATGTATGCAAGGCTGTGGTAATGGATTTCTGGAGGAGGCGAAAACCGATACTTGTCTGGGTGGTGCGGCACAGCATTCAAACGATCAAATGAAGAGGACTTTAAAAATGCTTAAATAATCGTGGTGACTATGCTGAAAAATGGTCTTTCAAATGTGAAAATATGCTGTATCCAATGTTATAGTTTATGTGGAAATAAGTTGAAAGCATTACGTTTAGAATTCTCATATATATATATATATATATATATATATATATATATATATATATATATATATATATATAGTGAAGAGGTTATAGTAGTTCCAGCGAGAGAAAAGTGTGCATATTAAAAAGAAGGCAGAAACCGCAAACGTCTTTGGTTGCAATGTGGATTTTTTAAAAAATATATAATGACCATTGAAAGAGAATATACGTATGCGTACACATGCTGACAAAAACAGAAGAAAATGGAAATAGATTTAAGAACACACAAGGGGTCAATAAAAAAATAAGAATATAGATATCTTTCTCACCCTTTCTCAGACCAGTCTTAATTGTTTTATTACCCTTCACTTTTTCACTGCCACTCCAGTAAATCTATATGTAAACCCTCATAAATGCTTCATTTCCATGATCAGATATAACATAATGCAATATATTCACTTAATGCAGCAACATAAATCAGTATTTACGCTTACATTCACCAATCGCCTTTTAGGTTTTCTCATCATGAAATGCTTTTTAAATGTTCATAATAATTTCTTTCAAAGGAAAATACTTTTCTGCTAAAAACAAAAAAACAAATTTAATATTTAACTAGAGTACTAATTAAAATGTAATTTCCTGGCTTTTGTTTTTTGTAAAATTCCTAACAACACAAAAACCAGTTTGTCTGGCAATGCCAGATTCAATACTCAGTTGTGCTAGATCAACAAGTCTGGTTTGAGACAGAATTGATGTTTGAGTTTACTAAACTTAGTTACTTGTACTCGAGGAGCGATGTGTGTCGCATGGTTGTTGTGGAGCCCTTCTTAGTTCTTGCGGCTATGGAATAAAATAACGGCTGGACCCCTTTCTCACAGGCGCAGTCTGACGGTGCTCTTCAGGCTTAAATTCAGTTAATTTTCTTCAAGACTGGTTATAAATCAAATCGAAAGAGCTCAGTCTGCACTGTTATTTAACCCTTATATTGTGGTGGAGGGGAGAAGAAAAGAATTTATACCTTTCCCAAGGCACTTATTCAAAAGTGAACGCAATAACCGCGACTGGAACTTGAATTCATCATGCTGGTCCTACTTCTCGCGCCAATAAGCACTGCGGTATGCGTGCGCACACGTACTAAAACACACATATACATACAGCATATATATATATATATATATATATATATATATATATATATATATATATATATATATATATATAAGGAGATTAGATTATCAATCACTGCTTCTTGACAAGCCGCGCAAATTTTGTGCAATTTGAAAAAATATTTGGAAATATATATATATATATATATATGTGTGTGTGTGTGTGTGTGTGTAATTTCGAAGCGGTAATGACACGTTTTTCTAAAACGGTAGTTTCTTAGAAAAAAGAGAATGCATGATCGATTCCTGTTGACATGTACATTTTCTTAAACAGACTTCTGATGATCTAGGCTAATAGACATTAAATCAACTGTTAGTAAGTAAACAAATATGTCTACTTAAATACTTGTTAAAATAGCGTTTATAGTAACAAGAAACGCACACACAACCAAGAACCCTCCTCTCTCTCTCTCTCTCTCTTCTTTCTATTTGTTTTTGTGTATGTAATTTCATACTATTTGAATGGAATGAAAAACTTGTTTATCTGTCAATTTATCCAACGTTTCCTTTGTCTCGCTGGATATTTCACACATGTCCCCCCCCACCCCACCACCAAGTCCATTTCACTTTTCTTGGAGAAAGCAATTCTGACACTTTCCAACCAAACCATCTCCATTTGCTTCCGCAATCGGCTTCTTTACTTCTGTCGTTGTCTTACCTAACTTAAAAAGGGACAGATTGCAGTGTCACACGTATACCGTCTTTTCTTACAAGAACATTGAAAGCAAAATACTCAAAACCGGTTTTTCACGTGTATATTCAGTCTCTAATTTTCAAAAAAGAGAACGTAGGAAAGTTTCACACACACCTTTCTTTTAATCATTTTACCCCAAGCAACGTAATAAAACCATTAAGAAACAAAGCGTTACTAAGTCTAAAAGAATATGAAAAAGAAAAACATTATTACGGAGTGAGGACAATACAGGAAGAGGAATCAAAAATTAAGTAGACAGAAGATAACGATTGACATTGCATTCAAATCTTTCAAGATCAAAATTGGCTGAAAAGCAACGAACCGGAAGAGAGTTCCACGGGTGAGAAAAGAAACTGTTAACAAAGAACTTGCGGTTACATCTAGCCAGTTCAACTGTGAAATGATGAGACCTTACCGCCAATCTAGTACTGAACTTAAATTGATAAATCTAGGTACCACAGAGCGAAGTTCATCAGAACAATTACCATGAAAATATTTTTAGAAAAGGCACAAGGAAGCTACATTACAGTGGTGGGAAAGTGCCTGAAGTCAAGATGTCAGGTCAGGACCAATAACATTGCAGATTCTTCTTTGGATTTTATCAAGAATCTCTAAATATATAGCAGGAGCTCCAGACCATATGTGGCAGCAATATTGAAAGCATGGATAAATAAATATGATTAATAAGATAGATTCTGGTGATAAAAATTGTCCAGAACGACACAGCAAATCAATTTTCCTAGCACCAGACCTAGCAATTGGTTCAATATAACATTTCCATCTAGTATTTTACTGGAATTTTAACCAAATAAAAAAGCCCTCTGATTCATATTGCTTTCTGTAAAATATAAAACAACTTGAGACATGAATTTAAAAAAGAAAAGAAAAAATACAGCGAAAATAAAATGAAGGACTAATAGAAAAAGAAATAATAAAAATCCATCTTCTTTTATGTGCCATGTCCCTACAAAACGTAGAAGATCATGGTCCTCCAGAACTTCCTATTTTTTGTAGCTCTAACTATTGTTTGTCTCCTACTTACCTCTCTGCTGCCATCTATTTACACAAACCCATCAAGTAGGCTACTTATTGCTTTCATTGCTTTTCTTGAATTCAATATGTGAGTGTAAAAGGATTTTTATTTGGTAAAAGAAAATAGTTCAAACAAATGTTTGAGGTAACATTTATGGGGGGGTCACAACAAAAACAAACGACAGGAGCCGAATTTAAAAACAAACGATATAATGAATGAATTACACAAATTAAGTGCATTGTGTGCCAAATGACATGTATTTAAAAATAATCAATGCAAATGACATATGCCCTTTTACAATAAAAATTATAATGTTCTCAGAAAAGAAAACTACACATGAGATGTAGAAAAGGAGAAAATACTTCTCTGAATATGTTTCAAAGAATTGGTACAATTTTCGAAGTAAAGTTCGTGCTAACAGTGAAGAAGAGAACAATCACATCAGCTGAAAACTTTTCCTGGATGTGGGAGCGACTTTGATGTTCTTTCAATTTGGTACCTCCACTTGTTCGCGGGAAAACAGCATTTCTTTTTTGCCACAAACTTAATAAAAATAAAGTATTATCGTCAAAATGTTTATGTTATTATTAAGATGAAAGACCAAAGTATTTTTTAATTATTTTTTCAAATATTTTAATCCTTTCTAAAACGTTCGAAATTTTAGTTAAATCTTGTTTTGTTTACGTCTTCGGGGTGACATAATAATAACATTGACTTTTTTGCGCTTTTTTTCGGTTGAAAACACATTGATTTGGAAATTCTTGTAAAAATCAAATAATTGTCCGATTTTAATGAAATTCTCAGGACTTACTCACAAATGAATTAAATTATTTTTTAAATTTTTTAAAGAAAATTTTGGTAAAAAAAAATTTATTTTACATATGTTACACCACACTTAATTTCATGAAATTTCGCAAAAAAACATTCTATTTCCTGAATTTTTTTATTCGTTAAAAGTACGACTCCTTGGAGAATCTAAATTGCCTAATCTTTTTTTCAAACTTGCACTATTCTAACTGAAAATCTGCTCTGAATTGAAAAATAATGAATGAAATAAAACTATGACATTATTTAATTAGAAAAGCTTTTAATTGCTTTTGTAAATAAGTTATATTAAGGACGTCATTCTCTGATGAAATAAATTTTTTCCGATGAATAATGAATTTTTACAAGAATTTTTTTCATTTTTATTTTTAAATTTTAATTATAATAATTTATAATAGTTTAAAATCGTGCAAAATTCTGTATTGGGCTATTTCCTGGATGTGATATAGTAATTAAGTGGAAATGGAATTTACGAATCCAAAATTGAAAAGATTAATAAACGTAGATACACTATTCTATTTTTAAAATATTTTTTTATTTCTTATGTTTTTACTTAATTCGTTTTCTATTTTCATCTATGAAAGTCTAAACGTGGCATAATTATTAATATAGATAGCTTCAAGAATTTTTAGTTTATGTTTATTATTTTCAGGAAAAAGTATAGATATGTTTCCGACAAGAATTTTTCTAAATTACAAATGTGGACAGGCATGCTGTTTAGAAATTTTGAGCGCATCATTCAAATGAAAACTCAGCAGCCGAGCTGGACACACCGCGACCACGTTGTCTCGGCGGCTGAGATTTTCTTTAATAATGGCACAAAAAAGCTCGTCCGTGAGTATGAAAGGATTCAATTGAAAATAAGTAGACATAATTTGTCTAAATTATTCAATGTCTTAATCTATCTATCTATGTGTATTGTGTGTGTATTTAGGCAGCAATCCTTCATTTATACATGCTTCATTAAAGACGACAGACGATGTACTGCAACTGAGCTTTTTATTTAATTTTTCTTGTGTTCGAACAAGTGTTTCTTTTCTAGACACAGAGTGTAGAAACTGTCCAAATGTCCTGTAATCAGATAACTCGCTTAAGATTTATTTATTGACAATATATATATATATATATATATATATATATATATATATATATATATATATATATGTGTGTGTGTGTGTGTACTTTTTGCATTCTGCGTGTCCGTGTGTACAGTCGACGGTAGATCCCCGTGTGTATGAATGTATGCAGGACATTCGTTTTCCGACCATAAGGCCCGGTCGATTTGCCAGGAAGGTAACTTCTTGATGCTATCCGTCTGGTGGAAGCGATCCTAGCGTGCGGCACCTTTGGAAAGTGCCTGTAATTCCAAACCACGGGTCGACCCAGACATTATGAGTGAATTTAAATAGACGCAACTGTTAGGTTACCCCGTCGACAGTAGTGCTCGCACGAAGTCCATATATGGTCTGGTGCACCTTCTGTTTACCTCGGAGTTCTTGACAAGATCCAGAGGCGGATATGTAATATAATTGTCCCTGATCTGGCATCTCGTCTACAGTTGCTCTCTCACAGACGCGCTGTCGCCTCTCTCTGTCTTTTTTTACAAATATTTCCATGGTAATTGCTCCGATGAGCTGCTTTCACTGGTTCCCAGACTTCATGAAATCTACGAGGCTGGCATCCCGCTCTCACCCTTTCACTATAGAAACTTATAAATGTAGCCGTCTCTTCTACTCCAATAGCTTCATACCTCACACCTATCGTCTGTGGAACACCCTTTCCAATTACTGTTTCCCTGAGAGCTATAATCTCCAACTATTCAAATGTAATGTCAATCGACACCTCCAGTTACCTTGATCTATTCACTATCCCTCTCCTCATCCTTTCTTCTATCACTCCTATCTGCTCTTGCTCCAAATCTTCTGCAACCCCCTGCATCCTAGTGGCTTCACGCCTTGCTCGGGGCGTAATGCTTAAAAAAAAAAAAAAAAAGGCACAAGTTATCGTGACCGAGGTGTTTGAGCATACTGGCGTTGTTCAAATTGCCGATCATGACAAATTATGCGCTCTCTTACTGAAAATGTAACTAA